GGGGGGCGCGCGCTGGAGCGGCTGCGCAGGCTGGCGGCAGCGGGGGAAATAGCGGCGCAACAAAAACTGCCTGTGGCAAAGGTTTGGAGAAGCCGTGGCTCAGGTGCCGTGTCGCGGCTCTCCTCTATCCTCTGTGCCCGTCCTTCACGCCGGCGTGCCCTGGCTGCAGGTGCAGTGCCTCACACCCAGCCTTCAGGTCACCCGTGCGTTAGTACCGGCCGCGTGTCTTGAAATACGGTGAAAGTGCTAAACCGTGCTGCTGTGTGCGTTAATTTGAAAGGCAGACAAGTTTTTCCCTTTTATTGTGGGACCTCCTGCGGTTTTGGCTGGTGGCAGCTTTCCTTACTAGGAATAACCGTACCTTCTGGTGTGTATTTTTCTGGCGCGTAGACGTGAGGGGGGTTTTTTTGACGGCCTCTACTGCGTTCCGGCAGCATGCAAGCTAGTAGTGTTGAGAGTGCTCTCATACTGCCTTTTATTTTCACTCATGTTCACTTTCCCCAAATAATGCCTGTATTTTATGAGTCGTTCAGATGAAGTTTACCGTATTGCATAGTGCAAGAGAATAACAGTAACTTTAGACTGTTACAAGCTAATCTAGAGAATTTGCCTGATCTGTTCTTGCTGCTGACTGCATTTTTTCCCATTGTTTTCCTTTTATAGGAGACATTGGATTTAACCTGTAGAAAAGCCCCGTGCTTTGTGAAATTCTCAGAGATGGAAAAAATGGCAAACATTCGAGCTGAAATCAATGAGGTACAGCCTTTACCGTTGTCAGTGTATGCTCTACACTTCAATATTACAGATAATATGTGGCACCTGATGAGGTATCGGACTGCCATGTGCTATTGTTTTATGTTTTGGGGTTTTTTTTAGCTTTTTAACAGTTGGCATTTTTTCCCCAGTGGACTGAGTTGTTATAAAGAAAAGAACAAAATCATGAAACAAAAGGTTTTGGTATAACCAGAAAGACACAGCAACCTGCATCTTTGACTGAAGTGTCACCTGAAATTTTCTGAAGAAACCAAAGAACAAATAAGAATTTGTAGTTGACTTCAATTCACAAAAATGTGTATCTTTATAGGCAACTAGACCATTTTGTTGGTTAGCAAGAGGTAACCTCAGTCATTTCCTACTGCCTGAATTGCCTGTTGGCTTGTATTTTATGATGATGTTTTCTGAGCATTTGCTCGCTGGTACAAAAAATGTGTTTATTAAGTTACACAATGTGGGCTCCAGCAGCTACAACGCAGTGTGACAAATTCACCGTTTACTTTTTTGGAGAATGAGTTAAACAGCTGGCATCATCCTGTATTGACAGGCAGAAGGAACGAACAGTTTCCAGCTCCCAGTAAGGTGGCTACTTAGCCTCCTTTGCTGGAAGGTTTCACATACAAAGTACTCTCTCTGACAAATGTTCAATATGCTGTGAGTGAAGCAGGTTTATTTTTGTCCTCTCCTCAGTGATCAAGAAAAGCAAAGCAGCAGTTCTGTGTGTGTCCTGAGAGACTGATATGTCATCCTCTTCTGTACTTTCCTCAGTCTTCTCTTGTCTAGCCAAAATGACCACAACTCTTTCAGCCACAGGAAGGTATCTGCTGCTCTTGTGCTGGTTTATTGTTGGAAAGAATTAAAGCTAGGAGTTTCACCTGAGAGAGCTTCTCCCACAGCTAAAAAAAAAAAAACCCAACACAACCCAGTCTTTGCCAGAAGGAGGAAACTTGGGGCTGTGAGAGGTTCTTTAGTAGAATATAGACTATGAAACTGCTTTGTAGGAGATGTAAGTTTCTGTGTTTTAGGAACGAATTGCAGGATCTGTCTTTTCCAGCACAAATTCCCAATAAATCACCAAATTGCTTAGGTGTTTTTTAAACAGTCTTTTCCCATTGACAAAAAAAGCCCCACCTAGTAGCAGAAACACTCCAGAGAGCATGGTAACATGCTCTCGCTCAAATGCTCGCTCTCTTTCACACACATGCTCTCCCCCATGCTCCCGCTTTCTCCCTTTCTACTTCCTCCCCACCCCAAGAGAGTCAACAATATCTGCATAAGTATGTTAAAAATGCATTTTCATTTGATGATGTTATTGTTGTAGAAGAAACTGAAAACTGAAATTCTGCAGTTGGAAAAGGAGACAGCAGACATTGCTCACCCTTTTTACTTAGGTAAGTGCAGTTGTACCTTAGCAAGACCAAGAGTGTTAAATGGCTTCATCAGCAGATTAATGTTTCATCTGAGTACATGACACTTCTGGAATTTATTGCAGCTTTCTCCACTGGATAGCTTGTTAGAGGTGGCAGGTGTTTTATTAGCCCCTAAGGAATGCTTCCATACTACTTAAACTTGCACCCTCTGCTGTCTCAGTAGAAGCTCTGTGCATAACTCATTCTCCAAAAAAGGGGGTGTGTGGGGTGTGTGTGTGGTCAGCTCCCCAGGGTCAGTGGAGCATCAGGAGTTCAGAGATCATCAGTAACCTGATTTGCTTCCCTTGGCCTGTGTGCTGTTTTGCTGCTTTTCCAGTAACTCAGTGTATTTCTGCTGCATCTGTATGCCCCTAAAATTACTTGGATTTTCATTTTAGTATTTTGGGAGCATATGTATTAATTTCTTTATTATTTTGCACTTTTCCCACTATGATTTGATGGATGCTTAAAAACATTCTAGCTTGCTACTACTGTGTTAGGCTGGTGAAGTATATTGTAATACTTCAATGCTATGGTATAGTTTAAGAACTTGGTTTCATCTCAAAGACGGTTTACTTAAAGCTATAAATAACATAAAACAATTAACAAAGCTATGTCTCTAAAAAGTAGGTATTATGACTTTGAGGTGCATGCTGATACTAAGTCCTGTACACTCCAACAAAAGTCATTCTGATTAATGATATCTTTCTGCAGTGTAAACTGTCCAGTGCAATAGATCAGACTTTTTCTTTCTGTCTTTCTCCAGAAGAAATTTTGCTCTTGTTTTAGCAGGACAATAGTTTCAACTTCGCAATTTTATTTTATAGGCAAAAAATGCGAGATTTTGCAAGATATGAACAGACACTTGGAAGCTGTACTGAAAGAGAAGAGGGCTCTTAGGAAGAGGTTGATAAAGCCCAGATGTCAAGAGAGCCTGCCTATTGAGGCTACTTTCCACAAGTAGGCATATAGAAAATAATTGTTCTTTGTTTGCATGAGTCCAAATTGATTTGAACTAATAGGTAGTAAAAATTGCATGCTTTCATTCACTTTTTCATTGAGAAAAATAGAAATAAAAAATGGTAGCAGAACCTCAGCTAAAAGCTAGTAGTTTACTCATTGCTAAATTCATAGAAAGGTAGTGGTACGTATTTGTATGAATATTTACTTAGGTTATTGGTCTTGCCTTCCGAAGATTACACAACAATTTGTGACGTATTGTTTTAAACGTGTTAAATGCTTGATTCGTTATGCTTCTCCATAGGTAGGAATTGTTACTTTAGCATTTAGTGTCTTCCTTCCACTGTGACTTGCTCAGAATAAGTGTGTGAATGATTCACAGACATGCATAGTACGTGTTCTAAAAATATAGTCCTTCTTCTCATGGTCTAAAAATCTAGTCCAGTTACTGAAGAAGTGCATATTCACTTCTGTAATTTCTGCCCTACTTGTTGCTGAGAGTCGTAAAAGAAGTGTAATTGCAGAGAAATTAATTAGATGGTTAGGAACTTGCATAAAACTGGAGAAGAGGACTAGGAAAACCCACAGGGGAAAGAAATAAGAGCTTGGAATTATTAAATCCTCATTGTTGTGCACAACTTTTGAGTAGGGGGCTCATTCTTGGTTACAGGTATGTAGTAGACTTGTTGACTGAGGCTGTGACTTTCATTGAGAAGCTTGAAAGCCATTTACAGACCGTAAGAAGTATCCCTCAGATACCGAACATCATGAAGAATATGGTGAGTAGCAAAAGAACTGAGCCTTCTGTCTCCTTCAGCATTAAGAATTCAATGCTGTTTGGTTGTTTAGGTTGTTTTTACATCCTGCTAGATTGACAGGATGTATGGAAATGAAATCCAGCTTTTCTGCTTCAGGACACTGCTTTGACAAAAACAGAGGTGCTCGTGATGGAGTTGGAGGAGCTGGCAGAGCAAATATTGAAATGGAGAGAGCTGCAAATAGAAGTGTATTCTGACAGCATCTGCAATACTGCTGAATTGGACTTTGGCTTATCTTTAACCTAACGAATCATTTTCCTCAAATAGGATGGCTGTTCAAAGAACTACCTTTTTACAGTCTCAGGTGAAAACTACAACATAGTTGTGCTTTAATCCAACGGGGACTTTGTAGGTAGTTATATTTCTGTTCTTATGTAACAGTTCTCCAACTATTAAAAAACAAAACATAAAACAACGAGGACAATGAGCAGTAGCTCATAGGAAGACAGACTACTGAGAAGACCGTTGAGGAGTTCCTTTTCGAAATAGTTGGACAGGATTCCCTTGGAGCCTGTATCATCAATGCAAATTTGTTTTGATATTGCTTATGCACTTGCTATAGTGTCTCTATTCATTTTTGTAAGCATCTTGATAAAACACTGTATTTTGTATGTCACTGTAAAACTTCAATAAAAGCACTAGATTTCAAGAGCTCAGTTTCTTGGGTTTTATTTTGTTACAAAATCCTATAATTAGAAGAACAGTGCAAAGTTTTAGGTCCCAGCTTATGCTTCCATAGGAGTTCCAACCAAGAAATTAAACTAGTTTTAAGTTACAGTTTATTATGGCTATGATGTGGTTGTGTGGGAAAGCAGGGAATGTACTCGGTGATATATGGCAGGTCTACTGGTTTGCAAACCACATTTCTATGATAGTGATAAATATATTCTTCAGTCTCTCCTTTTCTGTTGCTTGCCCTATCTTCAGTGCCCCCTTTAGAATAAAACTCGTTTCATGAGTGTGACTGACAATTTAGCAAAAGCGTTGCTTGTTCCAGTTTGCGACCTTAGTGACTTTCATGTCAGGAAAAGACTTGTTGGTAAAATGTCACTGGCAGGACATCTGTAAACCAGGACGGTTGGTTGTCTTTGGAGGATGTCCAGTTTTGTATTCAGGATCCAGAGCAAACTGGAAGTGGTGCAGATGTATTCCTTTCTACCGTTGTATCGCTTATGTTACCTGAATTCTTCATACATCCAACCTATTGGTTTCTATTTCTGAAAATAAGAGCCCTTTATTATTTGAAAGTAACCGCTAGGTGGCTCAGTGCCACACAAATGTCACTGTAGTTTATGTGACTTGCATAAAAATTTAAGGTAGAATTAAGGAAGAAATCTTTGGTTCTTTGTTGAGCACACTCTGATCTGACTTACTTGCAATTGGTCTACTCTGTAGTTGAAATTTTCTGAGAATCCCATTTTAATCTTTGTAGACTACATCATTCTGCTGAGCGTGATGTCGAGTATAGCTTAACAATTCTCTAGTATACTATATAAGTGTAGCTGATGTTCCTCTCTGCTGCTATTGAGAAAAGTTAAGAGGATAGAAACAATTTGGATTAAGTCAAGCAGAATATCAATGGGTAGGATCTGAGAATATAAACTGGCATTTGAGTCCCATAAACTTGAATGGGATCTTTGCGTGAACGCTTGCTATATGTCGTTGCAGGATTTGAGTCCAAAGTCCCACATCACTTGTTTCAGATGTGGAAGCGAAGCTCTTCCACACAACTGCAGAGGAGGAGCTGGCATTTTTACTGAAAATGCTTTGCACAGTCTGTGAAATGGGAAGAAACAGAATCCAGGCTTCTGGAATCATCGTCCCGTGCCTCTATCACAGGCTTAACCTCTCATTGCTTACAGCGATGATTCAGGTCAAGCAAATTAAAGTTGTTGTGATTTAATGCTTCCAGAAGTAGGATGAAAACATTTCTAGTTAGTTTGTTCATTATAATTCCTTGAAAGGAAGACAAATATGTGTTTTTGCCATATCCCAGGGTTGAGCGTATTTTTTTCTTTTACTGTATCCATTATTGGAGAGTTGACTGTGGAGGTGGTAGAGTTTAGCTAATAACCATTTGCCATTGGCATACCAATTCATTCTTTAGTGTGATTAAAGGGATAAATCGACTGAAGTAAACAGTGATTCACAGCTTGTAGGTATTCGTTTTAGCATCTCTGTGGTGGGTCATGAATTGGGAAAAGTGTTGGGTCCAAAGGATCCATACTTCACTCCGGAGGGCTTCTTTTTTGTTTAGATTTAACGTTTCTGGAGCTTAAGGCAAATTGTCTCATGAGGAGAACTGTACTTAAAGTACAAATAAATAGCACAGTTAAAAGACAATTTAAACAGAAGTTGTTTAAATGGACTGTACAACACTCCTATATGATATTCAGATATAGCTCAGTTTCTCATATTTTGAAATGCAAAACCAGAAAATGTCCAGTTAAAAATTAGTAACGACGCTGGCAAAAAACAAACAGGAATTTTCTGTTGAGCCTGGCATCTTGTTTACGCATGCAGCCAATGCTGCTTGCTCTCACATTTTCACAATAATGTTGGTAGCTGACAGGGACAATATCCTAAAAGCAATTTTTTTAAACTTTTGGTGGTTTTTATATTACTCATAAGTGCAAAACCTTTATCAATGTGACAGTTTGACATTGATTTCAATTATAGCTCTCTGGAAATTTCAGAATTTTATTTTACACAGTAAATACAACCCACATAAAGATTGGAGGTTTTCAAAGGAATTTAAAACACTTGGGAGCTTTCCTTTAGCACTAGTAAGGAAGGGATACTTACCTTCCTTAAATTACTGTCAAATTAATTAAATGTGGAGTGCTTTGCACTTCAAACCGTGCTGGTTTTTTGACTGCCTGCACGCTACTAGGAAAAGAAATGTGATCAAACTTAGTAGGATTAGACGGGCAGTTTTTTACTTCTGAAACAAATTGGTTTCTCTTGGGTGGTCCCCAGCGAGTCTCTTCATGGCAGCACCCATCTAACCGGACTGCCGGCATTAAACCCTTAAGTAAAATCCGGGTTGTTACGCTGCTGCAAATGAGCGTTTGGTGGTGCTGCCGGGCGAGCAGGGGTATCCCTGGCGATTTTGAGCGTGAAACCACCGTCTCTTGGTCTGGAGGTCCCGCTCTCCCGGGCGGACCTGTTTTAGGCGGAAAAACCCGGTTTGGGTGCCGGAGAGGCTGCCGCGCCGCTGCTGTGGAGAGAGTTTTCCCGAAACCCCTCCTCTCCGCCCGGGGAGGTTTCCCTTCTACCCCCGCGGGGGCTG